TAATATTTCGAGCAAACTTACTGCCCGTGTTCACACCACTGTTGGAATTAAATACTCACAATGTGTAAACCATTGAAATATAATTATACTTTATTTGATCTATTTCACAATGCTCAAACATTTTATTGACTTTAACTGTTAGAACTGTTTTGTTTTTTAATTCACACATTTATGACTTGTACTCATATCTATAGTTCATTTCTGTTTTTGATTCCAGCTTGATTTCACACCGTATTTTTGGTACAAGTATAGAATTTTCAGTATGTGATATCGGTAGCCCAAATTTTGCAGGCCGACCATTGATATCAAGTGTGCGTCGGCAGGGAATCGAACCTCAGACCATGTGCATGGTCGGCGAGAGTCCTAACCAGTGTGCCACCGACGCATTCATTAAGGCCACATCGGATACATGTAACAAGGGTGACTCAGTACAACTGTCAACAACCTGAAATATAATTCTGAATACACAAAAATGAATGAACAAAAAATGAACTATATATATGAGTACGTCATAAATGTGTAAATTTAAAAAAAAAGACAATTCCAACAGTGGTGTGAACACGGGCAATAATTTTACTCAAAATATTACTAATAACAAAACTTACCGTTGTGTGCAAACCATTGAAATACAATTATACTTTATTTGGTTTCTAATAAACTGAAGTTTATCTCCCTAATGATTAGAACTGAAAATTACAATTAACCGGCATATAATTAATAAAAAAAATGTTTTTCTAGTTCGTGGTTCAGGCCTTTATCGCTAAATACTAGGGTAGGAAAATTGATTAAGTAACTAAACAAGCAGAAAAAAATAACGCATTAAAGATTTATTTCAACTTATAGACCTGTCTGATTGCTGAAAACGTGTAAAGATGAAATCTACGTTAAAAACAAAAACTCAGATACAACAGAGTAATGCCGCGTATCTTCAATTTCTCAAAATGTACAGAAGCAATAATGAGGTTAAAATCATTTTTATGTACACTTGCTTTATACGAGTTTTTCTGATGTATACATGAAACTAAGATATATACAGTGTTTTACATCAAAAAGCTTTAAAGAAAAGAATAAAAAAGTAAGATGCCGTTTTTCTTACTATATAGGCATTTTTATTAACAATACACATGACAATATGAATGACTTCATTGGCATGCTATAAATAAGTCAATAACAAACCAGATGCATACTAACAATGAATTCAAATAAAGCTGAATGCATATTCTACTTTCATGCATAAACTGTAATAATAATAATATAGAGCGAGATAATGATTCTTGAAGTAAAATGACATGTTGAATAGGTTAAGTGAAAGTGAATGAAACAAGCACGAATTTGAAACACATTTTTCCACCGTCTTTTGATAGAAACTTACTTTGACCTAGTAAAGCAGCTGTAATAAATATTGAAGAAGAATTTAATTTTACTAGTATGTTTAAAACTGTTAATGTGCGAATCCGAAGGTTTCACTAAATGCGTGTCAAATGAATAATCACAGCACTACCATTGATTATTGATAATGCTGATGAAATTCGATGGTATTTGTTACAATATTGTCCGATATTGATCACACGAAGGCCCGTTTAAATCACTGGTCTATCAGAATTTCCATCCATTGAAATGCTTAAACTCTCTTCTACACTTCTTATTGTTTTAATCGTGTAATTATATCAAATGACTACCACATAAACTGGCACTCATATTTCATTTACTTCAAACCAAAACGCTGTGCAATTCTTGAAGGAAATGAAGAAAAGGTGTACAGAATCGGTGCTCTCTTCAAAAGCAACAATGCTACGTCACATGATATACTTCAGATTATTACTTTGCATGTAAATAGTGTATGAAGAGGAAATATTTTGGAACGGAATATGCTGAAAATGTTTGTACTATATGTACACATATTGTCTGACATAAAGCCTTATTATTACTATTATTATTATCAATTATTATTATTTTCCACAAACTGGGAGATATGCAACTGAAAAGCAACAAGCTGGCACAAGAAGCATCAAAGATACGACTTCGTTCAGGTGAATATACAGAAAACAGAGGTGATGAAGATACCTGGCCAACACCAACAGCAACAACAACAGACAACAATCAACCAGCATAAATGGGTGGAACCTGAAAGAAACGACCTCCTTTATCTACCCACCTGGAAGCATCGTTTCAACTACAGGCCGGCGGAACTGACGAGGATATCAAAGCAAGAATCGGAGAAGCAAGACAAGCTTTCATTACTCTCAAATCTGTGTGGAGGTCAACAGCACTCACCATCAAAAATAACATCCGGATTTTCAACTCCAATGTGAAGTCAGTCAGTGCTACCATACGGATCAGAGACTTGGCCAGCGCGTCATAAAGAGCACCTCAAACAAACTACAGACCTTCATTAACAGTTGTCTTCGCTCAATACTCAAGATCGGATGGCCGGCCAGAAAAGATCAGCAACAGGGATCTCTGGCAATGAGCACACCAACCAGGAACCGATTGTGAAACAAATAGGCAGAAAGAAATGGAGATGGATTGGCTGGTCATAGTCTGAGGAAACCATCAAGTGACATCACTAGACAAGCCATCGCTCGAGTGGAACCTGAAAGGGAAGCGCCGAGTTGGTCGTCAGTGTGAGGGTGACTTGGAGGAGGTCATGTGAAGAGGAGATGAAAGCATGTGGGCAGACTTGGAGCGGGGTGAAAAAGTTGGTAGAAAACAGAAGGCAATGGAGACGCGCATCTGAAGCTCTATGTTCCTCTAGGAATTAAAGGATATAATAATAATATATAATAATTATCAAAACTTTCACTGATTTATGACTTATTCATATCCCTTAAAATGATATTGAAACTATTTGATTTTGCATCTTTCCGTGTGGTATTAAATGTTAAATGCATCAAGTTCAGAATAACAGTCATTCACAAAATCTTTGACCAAATATACTACAATCATCTGTCAGGCAATACGGTGAAAACATTCATTATTTCCATGCACCTTTACACCTTCAAGCTGGAAGATATTTAGGTAAAACTTTTCACTTTGTTTTTACAATATCCTTTGGGTATTAAAAGATCTTTTACGATTAGGCTATACCAGAAATAATATTTCATTGTTACAAAGAAAAATGAATACATTGGTAACAACAACAACAGCAACCATAAAGTTTGTAGAAAGATGACTTCAATTCAGACACTCTTCTAGTTTTACCTGCTACTGTTAGTAGAAATACCTAATCTCCTCATACTAGAACAAAGTGGGCATCACAGATTTTGTTGAAACTACTCCATAAACTTTACAACAAATATATAAATAATACAATTACGATAACTAATACTGTTTGCAGATCAAGTTATCTTGGTAAATGACGTAATACTTAAGCAACAAATAAATATTAAGATAGTAGCAGATGATGCGAAAAATATACGTCTTCGAAGAAAACATTCGTTTTTTCCATAGTGTTAATGTAATAACTGAAACGAATGTCGCTTTTATGTGTGAAAATCCCTTAAGGGGTACAGATAATAACAGGGTGAGTATAGCCAGGGGTTACGCAATAGTACAGACAAATGAAAAATGAATCCATCTGATGTGAGCATCACATGTTACAGTTGTTTCAAGGCACCTTTTATTCCTTTACTTTCTTAATGGAACATATCGCCTCAAGGTAGAGCTTTTAATTTTCGGTCGCAGTGACTTCATTTTTACGCCTCACGCCCAAAATTTCCTTTTCACAGGCCTTACTACTGAGTTAGCGAGGTTTAAGAGTGCATCGGCAGAGGATCGAACCCAGGGGACGTGAGTCGCGGTTGGCGAGCATTCAACCGCTGAACCACTGACGCACATGATGATATACCTATTGACTGAACATTTATACATTGGTTTTCAGAAGAACCGAACATACCTATCCCTGTCTCTTACGAGACGAGACCAACATGTAGTGTCAACTTTTGATGCAACCACCCTAGGATCCTCTGCCTCAGTGGACCGGCTAGGTGACAAAATGAACAAGTATTTTGGTAAATTTGCAGAACAGTCATGTTGATAGGACGAAGAAGCATAAAACCTAAGTTCAGAGCTTCTCTCCAAAGAATTCAAACACTAAAAACAGGTTTATAACACAGTAGTGAAGAGAATGAAAATACACTGCAAAAACACTTTGAAAAAAACCCAGAGGAAAGTGATAGATACGACGACGTAGGAAAGATTGATTGACTTAATCCGGAAAACATCCTTAGTAAAACAAAAGTGAAACAGACAGACAGACAGACAGACAAAGCGAAACAAGCATTATTTATTTTCTGAACAAGGGGTAAATGCAGAACGAAATGCCTCTTCATACACTCAATTGCCTAAGTTCATTCATATTAAGAGATTATTCACTTATTACGTTGATAACTGCAAAGGTCTATATTTCTGAGATTTTGATATATTTCTTTCGTCAAATGCATATGAATTTGTCAGGGGAATCACAGCACTTTATTTTTTTTAACCAGTTTATTGAAGACAACACATTTATGGCTTCATAAGATCTCTATCAGCTTGAGAAATGTTTATTAGACACCTCACTTAAGATGAGTGCTGTTCTCATTCGCACTGACTATTTTCATATGGATAGATAGCTAAATACAAGATTAAAGATACAGCCTGCATGCAGAAAACCTCGTACTGGAATATTAAATACTCCTAAATTTTTTTTTATTTACAACTATTTCCATGTGGACTTAAATGTTAACCAATCACTGTTCTTTTGGGGATCCAAATGCTTCTTTAAGTACTCAGGCAAGCATCAGTATTTTCAAAAAATCTCACTAAATCAAAGACTGATGTTCATGCAAAGCATATAATAGTGACTTTTATTAAAACTAAAACTTCATGAAAGGAGAAAAAACCATAAAGCTATGCATAGCTTCCGTTATGCCCATATTATCCGTAAAAAGAAACAGGGTATGAAATGTTTAAAACATACATTAAAAATACAAATTCAATTAAATTGTATTAAAACTTACGCAAACGTCCAGCCAGACCACCAAACAGTAGAGATGCAGAATTACTGAGTATATCATTACGCTGATCAGCCTTTAAAGCATCTACTCCCATTCCACTGCCAAATTTCATACAGATAATCCAAAGACAAAATTTCACCACTAAACAAAGTGAGAATGATAATAATAATTATAATAACAGTATAACAGAAATCAGGATTGTTATTTTTACCACAGAAAACATTCACAACTATCCTTTGAAATGTATTTTACTGAATGGTAAGCGTATATTATCATAATTAATAATCTCTTTTACATCACTTTTAAATTAACATACACCACAAAACCTAAATATTGATTTCTTTTTGGCTTCCAAATGATATCGGATCATAGAGGAACTAACCTTTCTAGAAGCCTGAGATATTAATTATCCCTCATTTTTCTAACAACACTATCTACCTGTCTATCTTACTATCTATCTATCGCCAGTTCCTTGATAGGATTCCATAATTGTTAGAGTTCTAAGGTTGCGGTGAGTATTCATGGACAAATTCGGAAGACAGCAAAACAGCTGTGTAGGGTCATTAAAAGGTTTTGAATATTTTCTCTAAAACGTGTATTTTAATGCGCACAATCCACACTCCTGGACATGTGTTACGTATGCCAAGCCATCGCCTCCTTCGACGAGCAATGTTAGCGGATATAGGGTCAGGCTGGAAAAAAGCTAGCGGCGGTCAAACAAAAACTTGGCTGCACCAGTCAATGAAATCCACAACAGTTGGTCTAAGCCACGTAGGAAAGTGTAGACTTCCAGGCTGGGGTCCTCGGGACGGTAAAAATCTATGGTTGGAAACAATTGGTGACATGGCTCAAAATCGTTCTCAGTGGCGCAGATGCATCCACTCCTTGTAACTTATGATCTTCAATGAAACTGTTTTGTTTTTCTTTATTACTCCTTTGTCTCACACCTCTGCTCACTGTTTCTATTATACTTTTCTTGTACTTTCTTCTCTTGCTTCGCGTGCTACACGGAATGTGGCGACTTGAACTGGCGCACATTTGTGCAAAGTTCTATGTCGGAAACAGACAGACAGACACTCCTGCATTGAGTGATTCCGAATAAATTTACTACTGTGAATTCAAGCTAAAAAATTACAGTAACCAGAAATAATTTCGTTTACTTTATGCATGCATAATTCAGCTTGGAAAAGCAGTCTAAAATGTTTATATATGCAAATAAATCATAATTCAACTTCAAAACATAAGAATTTCAGTTGTATTTAATTGATTTCGTGTACAAATGGAAAATTTGAAACTTCTCCTAAAATCAGTCAAATATTCTAGGTAAATGGATAGATATCTAGACTAGCTGTAGACACTAACAGAATAATGTAAAATAAATTTGTAGTATGCCACAACCAATATAATTACTTTGTTAAAAAAAGCACAGAGACATATGGAAACCCAAATTATCAGACTGTTTCAAAAACCTAATATACACATTCCCCTTTATAAATATCAACAGAGAATGAACAAACATTGGGGCAGAATTAAATAGACTCACTGGATTTCATAAGTTTTCTTCAGCTGCATACTGAAACCACTTGCCAATCAGTATTTATACCGATAAGAATTAGTCAAGACACTTCAAATCTTGGTCGAACGCTAGTTAATAATCAGTATAATGTGTCTCCTCCTATCTCTGGTGCAGACTGATTTCTATCAGTCAAGTTTGCAATGTAGTCATGATGCTACGTGGGTCACCATCACGGTGCAGTGACAATTGTTGTTGGAAGCAGTCGGTAAAAAGCCTGAACCTAGGTTTCGTATTACTTGGCACTCGTCAGCAAGGCAAGCCACCTAGCATGGTGACCACATTACAAACTTGACTGACAGAATTCAGTCTGCACCAAAGACACATTACACTAGTTACTGAATAGTGTTCTATCAAAGTACCCAATGCAATCCTATAGCAGGTCATTTGTGACCCTGAATAGTTCAGTGGTAACTTCTCTGACTACACACCTCGGTAACACAGGTAGGAATCTCAGTGGCGACATGAGTTCCTTGATGGTTGCAGATACGCCTCGCTGAGGAGTACCAGCTAGCATGAAAGCTAGGTCTCAGGCTTCTTCCTGATCACCTTCAGCCATCTGATATAGAAACACTTCCAATCTATTGACTTATCAGTTAGTGTTTTGGATAATATTATATTTGGCAATGATTTTCGCTGGGAAACACATTTCATTCTTTTTTTGTCTATACGAGATAGAAACGATAGGATATAGTCAAAAACCACAGTTTCACTGTCAATACTGTTTAGCAAATAAAGATGGCAGATACTTATGAAATTGTATAAAAGTGGAAAAAATATATCCTATAATACTAAATACCATTATTCTGAAAATGAGTAATAATAATGAATAAAAGGCAAAAAGTAGACATTAAATTGACATGTGTTATACATTTATGTGTCCTACCTATCACAGTTGCCATTATTCCTAATGCCAAATCAGTGACATCTGGAGCTTCTTGTTTATTTTGTGTCATACGAACTATTGCTTGTATAGACTCAGCTAAAAGTTGTATGGATAAACTAGCCATAAATACAGCAAGTACGATCACTGCAATCGGTTCAAGCCTGGTACGACCTGATTAAAATGATGAGGCAAATGAGAAACACAAACCAGTAAATAAATAAAATTAAGTTATTAATTCACTTATTATTGGAATATCTGCGAGGCAAAGAAAACATGAGGTATGGTTCCGATCGACTGATTACTCTGTTCTCAAAAAATCACTAGGATTTTTAATTTGCTGTCTCACCAGTCACATCGACAGTTACAATATAATTGTTGGATTTTCATGGCTCTTTTGTTGTAGGGATTTGATTTTGTTTCACGTTTCATCACCAATTGATACCTTAGTTAGATAACCATTGGAAATCAGGGAGTACTGCGAGACAGCTGTTTCGTCCTGGCTTGAGACTAATCGACAATACTCAGAACTAGGACTGAACAGCATGAAAATAAATCTGTGGCGCAGAAGAAGAAAAAGGAGAAGCGATTCGGTACCATAAGGATATACTCTATCACTGTACATTAACCATATATTCGAAAAATTTGCAAAAATGGCTAGAAAGTAAATTACTACGCTTTAAACAAATGTTGAAATAGCAGTTTGGCTGTCAAAAGAATTGAAATCTGTAGACTTTCCGTTTGAATTACTTACTACACGGTGAGCTAGTCATTACTAAAGTGTCATTAAGTATTCCAGTTTAATTTGTCATTTATTTCTCAAAAATATTTTTTTAAACAGACAAAAACTCAAATATCTGTACGACTGTAGATATGGATAAGAGAA